TTCTTTCACTTTTGTCTAAAAAGACTGAAGGATGGGGCGTCCTCCAGCAACGTGCTTTGAGGGCCTTTTTATCTGGGGGCATTTACTTTAAACCTGTGTGCCCCATTTGCCAGGTCGCCCCCTCTGACCCCGTGTTTCACACCCTGTATGAGTGTGATGGGCTCGTGGAGTTTCGTCGTTGGTTCGGCCCGACTCCTGCCCTCGCCCGTTGCATAGAGCAGTACCGCGAGAACCCTGTCTGGACCACTGCCTTGGTTCCCGACCCTCGCTATTGCTCCCTGCTCGCACCACCTTTTCCAGACCCTGTCTGGGGAGGAGCCACAGACGGCCCCTTCTTCTCGTCGCCCGCGTTTGGAGACGGCTCGGGAAAGCATGGCCCCTCGCCGCTCACTCTCCGCTGCGGATGGGGCGCATGCTCGTTTGCCCCGCGTAGTCGCAATATTTTCGGAGAGGCCATCGCCAATGATCGGCTTCGGCTTAATGCTGGTGCATATGGCGTATATCCCTTTCTCACCCAGGATGTCTCAGGGGCTGAGCTTTATGCGTTTTTATTTTACCTAACCCATGCTGCCCCCTCTGACTGCTATGAGTTTGTCACTGATGCCCAGTACGTTGTGGACGGATGGGCATTGGGGTATGAAGCTACCACGCACGGATGGGCCACTCACGCATCCTTGTGGGTCCGTGTCCACCGCGCGGCTTCAGATACTGGGTATCCTTTAATTAAGGTCACCAAGGTTCGTGGCCATTCTACCTCTGCTGGTAATAAGCAAGCGGACAGACTTGCTAACCTAGGTGCTGACCTACACACACTGGACACGGTACTGCACGACCGTGTCAAGCGCTCTGGATTGCTTGTGCGCAATCTTGGTGTGTATATCGGGCATTGCATAGCATGGATTTTCAAGAGCGTGCCCAAAAAGGTTTGGGTGGTGGATTCTGATGAGTCCCCCGCCCCCACGGCCCCATCCCTAGTCCTCTCTGGTGCCTCCTCTGGGGCATTGCATGAGCACTTCTGGGACCCCTCGGCGGGTCGGTTTCGATGCTTGAATTGTTGGGCTAGTTCAGTTTCCAAGAGCTATTTATTGCGTACACAGTGTTCTTCTCCCACTGGCGGTGGGCACGTGCTCAGGCGGCTAAATAATATCATATTTTGTCGACGATGCGGCCGCTACTCGTGCAAGAAAGCAGTTGGTTTAACTAAATTATGCACTGGGCCCCCTCGGGCCTCTGGCACCATCTCACGGCTTCGACGCATGTGTGATGGTCGTGACCCCTGCACTGGTCAACCAGTCGGTGAGGTCACTGCGGTTGACAATGTCAACGTTATATATGCCTTTCCTGCCCCTCACGATGTCTTTAATTTTCAGGCATTGTTTGATCCTGCATGGCTTCTAGAGGCCCCGTAGATTTCTCGTGTATATTTCGGAGGTGGGGTGGATGTAACGGTTCTGGTGTGTGTGCTGCCCACCGAGCCGCACGGGCACGCCTAGGGATATCTGGTCTGTCTCGTCTGTCTGATGCTGGCAGGACTACTCGGATCCCCGACACCAGCCGCCAGAAGTGTCGTTCTGCAGTACTCCCCTTCCTGGCCGCCACAGAGGACAGTCTCCAGGAAGTAGGGTAGGCTTGGGATAAGTGGGTACAGAGGCGCTGAGAAGCAGGCACCCGTTCCGCCTGCGCCCACTTATCCCGTCTGTGTTTTTGTCATTCCTCCCCTGGCCAGGCTCGCAAAGAGAAGACTCTTGCCTGCCCGCCGCGCGGGGATAGCTGTGCACGCCTCTCTCTCTGTGCTTCCTTCTCTCTACAGTCGGACAGTCGGACAGTCGAAGTGTAGGATAGGCTTGGGATAAGTGGGTACAGAGGCGCTGAGAAGCAGGCACCCGTTCCGCCTGCGCCCACTTATCCCTTCTGTGCTCTTGTCATTCCTCCCCTGGCCAGGCTCGCAAAGAGAGAAGACTCTTGCCCGCCCGCCGCTTGGGGTTTTCTGTGCAGCCTCTCTGTCTATGCTTTCTCCCTACAGTCTGACAGTCGGACATAGCCTAGGCTTAGGATGAGTGGGTACAGAGGCGCTGAGAAGCAGGCACCCGCACCGCCTGCGCCCACTCATCCTTTATGTGCTCCTTTTGCCCCCCCCCCCAGCCCAGGCTTGCGAAGAGAGGAAAGGGCTCTCCGCCGCCTTGCTGGTCTGTTGTATAATGTGCTGCCTGGCAGGTTGAGGCTGGAAGCCCAGGAGCCAGGACCTTGGCTTCAAATTGTTTCACCAGTCTTGCCAGCATCGCGTGTCTCGGGCCCTCGAGTTTTCGTTGTCCCTGTTTGCTCGGGTCGGTCCCTCGCTTGGCTTTGTTCGGGTCCCGGTCCGTCCCTCGCTTCTTTCGGCCCTTCTTCGGGCCCCTCGCTCGTCGTTTCGGCGCCACGGGCAGGAGTGTTCGGCAGACGATCACCCGCGCGCAAATCAAACAAAATCCGCTTGCCCGCCCGCCGCGCCGGTCCTGGCCTCCCGCCGGAGCGCTCGTCGCCGTCGCCGCCGCTGGCTTCGCCTCGAACTTTTGTTCAGAACGCGCCCGGGAGTGGTCCGGGGAGCAGCGGCATCGGTACCTCCTGGTTTCCTCGGACTCGGGCGCCACCGCCTCTGTGCCCCTCCTCCGCCTCCCCGCCCGCCGCCCGGAGCGCTCGTCGCCGTCTGCCTGCCTCTCCCCTTCTCGCCCCCTGCGGCGGGGCAGCGCGGCCCGCCCAGCACAACAGCGCGGCGGCGCGTGGGGCTCTGTTCGGTCTCTCAAAGGCGGGAGGAGGAGGAGGAGGAGGAGGAGGAGGAGGAGGAGGAGGAGGAGGAGGAGAACGAGGAGAACGAGGAGAACGAGGAGAACGAGGAGGAGAACGAGGAGGAGAACGAGGAGGAGAACGAGGAGGAGAACAAGGAGGAGGAAGAGGAGGAGGAGGAGGATCGAGGATCGAGGATCGAGGATCAAGGGGCGTCCCCCGTCGACGCGGCCGAGGCGGGCCCACCCTGCGGCCTCAGCCGCCTTCGTCCAGAAGGGCGTGCCGCCTCAGGGGCGTGCCAAGCGTTCGCTGCAGGGCCATAGGCCGTGCGCTTCCAGATCCCCGCTGGGTTGTCCAAGGGGTCTTCGGGGTTTCCGGGGGGGTTGGGGCGGTTCGGTAGCAAATCGTGGGAGCTTGGTATACCATGTCAATTCCGTCTTTCGCGTCGACTAGCGTCGATTAGCGTCTGGGAGTCGATGAGGTAGCGCCGATTTAGCGTCCATTGGCGTCGATCTAATTCGCGTCGAATAGCGTCGATTTAGCCTCGATTAGCGTCGATTCGCAAGAGCCGACAAGATGGTATTGGAGGCGCCCATGAGCTGCCACCGAAGGGGGGTTGTCTGTTGTTTGCTTCGGCATGTCGGATTTTCTCACGCCTCGGGATGCACTCCGGCCGCTGCACCTGGCCGAGGGAGTGAGCCGCAGCCTCACGTGCGGCCGCCGGAGGTGGGAGGCGTGGCCCGCGCGCCAGCAGGCGAAGCGAACCCCCGCGCGGTGACGATGCCACCGCGAGGGGGAGGAGGGGGAGGAGGAGGAGGAGGAGGAGGAGGAGGAGGAGGAGGAGGAGGAGGAGGAGGAGGAGGAGGAGGAGGAGGGGAAGGAGGAGGAAAAGGAGGAGAAGGAGGAGGAGGAGAAGGAGAAGGAAGAGCCCGTGCTGAAGCGCAGCACGTGCCGTGTGCAGAGCGTCCGTGTAGTCAGCGCGCTGCGGGTTGGCTCGGCGCGTGCTTGCCCTGCGTTTGGGCGAGCGTGTCGCGCCGGACCATGCTGATGCCAGTGGTGACGATGCTGGCGACGGTAATGACAAGATGGTGGCGATGCTGGCGACGATGATCAGGAGCGAAATAAGGACGTACACGTACATGAATCCACGCTGGTTTCGAGAGTACGCATTGCGCAAACGTTCGCAGAACGCGGCCGGTCTCGCAGATCGAGGGGCCGTGTGCATGTACATAGCTGGGTGCGTAGGTCCTTTCTGGGCTCCCTAGGTAATGACGACAATAATGACGATCCTGACGACAAGAGGGCGCCGTCGATTAGTGAATTGTCCGTTTTCGGTTCTCGAGAGGGCGCCGTGGCCGTCATTTTCCAGGCTTGCGCCCGCCAGGTTTGGGCCTCAGGTCGTTTTCACGAAACCACGTTTTACTAAAGGGAGGTCTGTCCATCCCCGATCATGACAACATGATGACGATACAGGCGACGATCATGGCGACAAGAATGACGATCCTGACGACGAGATGGACGACACTGACAGCACTCGTGCCAGACCCGTGCTTTCTTGACCTGCCTCCTGCCGGGCACCGTTCCAGCACGCCGCGGGCCACGTGCTGCGCCCCGTGGCGGCCGCGGCCAATCCCCGCCCGGGGGGAGGCCGCTGCTCGCGGGCAGGCCACGGATCGGAGCGCAGGCGTCCCCCCCT